AATATAATTTGACAGTATTCAGATCCCCTTCTGTATCCACATCTCCCTTTATCACCCCCTCCCTGATTTAAGGTACTCCCCTGTTTCTTTCAAGGGTGGCCCTCTTGAGAGGTTAACCAGACTGCAGTAGATGGGTCCAAACTGAAGCATATTCTTTTTCTTCTCTTTCTTTTTAATATTTTATTTGTTATTTTTTATCTTATGTGTATGCGTGTATAGCCTGCATGTAGGTAAGTGCACCCGTGTCATGCAATGCTCGCGAAGGACAGAAGAGGCTGTCAGATCCCGTGGAACTGGAGTTATGGACAGTTGTTAGCTGCCATGTGGATGCTGGGATTCGAACCTGGGTTTTCTGCAAGAACAGCCACTGTTCTTAACCGCTGAGCCATCTCTCCAGCCCCATTGACATTATTTTCCTTCTTAAAACATCAGAAATATAACAAAGAGGTTGACTATAACTTATTCTTCAAAATACTCTCAGAGATCTGGTTCATATAGGACAATTATAAACCAAGTTGAACCAATGACATTGAAAATAAATGAAATCTTTATTTTGGGGGAACAAATGACTAGACAGATGTATTCAACACAATATCAGAATTGGGTTATTATTCTCTGTTTTATCAATTTCACTCTACTCCTTAAATTCTCTTCATTCTTCTGATTGCATTAGGCTTAGTTTTCTTTCCTCTTCTTGGAGTCTCCTAGTAAAAAGCTAAGCTATCACTTTGTGATCTTTATGATGTCTTAATACAGGTAAATAAAGCCGTAGGATTCTTCCAGATACAGCTAGTTTCCTTTGCAACCCATACATTTTCATTCATCGAGTCTTCACTTCTAGCACAGTATTTTCTACGGTCCGGATCCCTATTGCTTTGATCTTTGTCCCAACAGTTCCTAATCAAATTCATACCCCTCTCCCCCATCCATGCCCTCAAAACCCTCACTGGACCTCATGAATTCCGCCGTACGCGGTAAACCTAAGCAGTCAAGCATTTGTACCCTCAATCCTCCGGTGCACATTCATCCACTCTAGTCTAGTCAGCCGATCTACAGCCAGTAAGTGCTCTTTCACTTCCACATGTGTTTTCATGGAGTGACTGGAGAGCATATTCTGAATCATTTCTATCAGTCTACGTTCAGTTTGTAGTTTATGCAGTTTGAAATGCTAAATGTTCTAAGCGCCCTTGAGTGGAATATGTATCCTTTTGTTGTTTAGTGGAATGTTCTGTGGGCTTCTGTTATGCCTTGTTATATATTTTCTCATTGCTCAAGGTTTCTATTTTGTTTTAAACATTACTGAAATTGAGATATTGAGGTACTTTATTATCTTTTTTGCATTTATACATGTGGTATACACAATACATTAAATACATACTGTTTTATATAATTGTTTTCAAAACAGTATCATATAAAATGACAAATTATGTATTTACATTGTCTTTTATAACCACTTAATTTTCGTTCATACTTTCTCTTTTAATGTGCATTTGAATTACTGTGTTGGAATATTTGTTTTCACTCATAGAAAATGTTCCTTCAATAAATGCTAAAAACAAATTCAGCTTTCTAAATATCTGATAGTTTCAGAGAGAGAGAGAGAGGGACAGAGAGACAGAGACAGGGACAGAGAGAGACAGAGAGACAGAGAGAGACTACACCTAAGTGTACACAACAGATTTTGGAGTTGTTTTGCTGGATATAATTACTGGTTGTCAGATTGGGAAATAGCTGTATAAAATTCAGCTGTTAATTATCCCAGGGTTCCCTTGGAAACTATGTTATCCGTTGTTTCAAGATTTTCCCTTTACCTTTCCCTGTTTTATTGTGGCTCGACTGTATGGTTGAAATCATGTTCCTTTACTTCCTGTTCCTCCAGAACCATCGCCAAGGACTTTCAATGTAATTCTTTTTATCTTTTGTAGTTTTCGTCAGATACAGTGGGCAGCATGTCGAGTACGGCTCTTGCTACCACACTGGCATAAAATTCCCTAGTGAGATCAATATTTTCACAGAAAATGTGTTGGCTATTATTTGAAATAAGAGCAATTTGCAAAATAGTTATATATTAAACATGAGAGAAGATAATTGAAAATATAATTCTACAAGACAACTAAATTTATGAAGGCTTATTTTAGCAACAAGCTGTATACAGTAACAACAATAAAAATAACAGAAGTTGCGGAAAGTTTTATATCTAAATTAATTTATCGACATATGCTATAGAAAATAAACCATAATTTTGGCAAAGAAGATTGATAGCCAAGTAGTATCAGTGCTCTACATATTTATCTATAGTATATATAATATGTTAAGTTTTATTAAATATTTACCAGAGTTATTTAAGAATTATAATGAAACCTGAGTATCTGCATCTATACTTTTCAAAGAGCAGCAAACAGAAGTAGCCTTACAGAAGCACATCGTAACATAAAGTGTTCTGATAAATATCAAGGCTAATTGTATATTTTCATGTATAAATAGGATGCTATTAATTCAAGACAAAAATACAGACTATTAAAATTGAACAGAGGTCCCTGAAAATATGTGAATACAGAACGTTTGTATCAGTGAACAAAGGAGATATCACACTATAATTAACCATGACAAAATCAATCATTAGTGTGGAAAAAACAATCAACACCATATAATATCCCCAACCACAAAGGTAGAGTTATCGAAAGATAGCCATGCTTAATTCAGATTTTAAATATGTTAAACATTAAGCAAAAAAGACAAAATAAGTTTTCAAAAACAAAATACAATTTTACAAGAGAAGATATTTGCAATTCGTACTTTAAACATTTATTCTGCCCGTTCCCATACATTAATTTGAATTGTATGAAACCGTTCATTTCTGGATTTTAATATGTTTTAATATGTTCTGTAATGATAATTTCATTTACTGACTAAAAATAAGACTAAGTAAAAAAATAGTATGTGCAAACATCAAAAAGATTAATTTAAAAAGAAGAGGTTTTTACAAAGGAGAATTAGAAGATAGATGGGAATTGATGCTGCCCAGGGCTGCCCTCCAAGACTTAACAAGAATGACTAATGTACTTCCTTTACACAGTCAATAATTTTATAGATGCATAAAAGAGGAAAAATGCAAATTCTAGGATTAGTACAAAAATACAAGGTGGAGTTTAGCTTTGCATTCATCAATGCTTGGCAAAGTAGAAGAGATGACTTTGCTGTGTAGCCAGTAACATTGCTGTTACTCCAAATTATCACTGAAAAATCTGGAGCCACACTTTCTTTTATAAATAATGTCAACCACCCAAAGGCAAAAACCTCATAGTAATTTTATTAATTTTACATCTTAAGAACAATTCATGTCTTCTGTTTTGAACTATGATATATGGAATCATCCAACAAATGCTTCCTGTGCTAGTTAACTCTGTTCAAACTTGTCAGATAATTTCTGAAAGTATAATGCAACCATACACTCTGTGTTGAGATAATGTTCTCCTGCTTTTAGCTCACTGGAATTTCCTACTAGGTCATGGAAATAAAGAGTACTGGATCATTTGGCATATCACTGCTTAACTTCATTAGAAACATCTTTTTGCTCTGCAAATTGCTATATAATGAGGCACAACCAGAAGAAATTTAGAAAAAAATTATTAACTCAGAGTGCCTTTTCTGTTTGACTACTTGCTAGTAAAGTATTATAGGCCTGTTTATATCTTAAACAAAGTAAAATGACATATAATTATGCATCTATTTTGAAGAATGATTACCATCTTCTGCAAAACTCTAATAGAGGTTACTATATAGTAAAGTCATTTGAATTGAATATTTGCCTACTTATTTGAATGTTTTGGAAATCAGTAGGACACTGGTGACCAGAAATTGGAGAGCAGTGCATTGGAATCATAGATGACATAGTTTAGTAGAACATAATGATGTAACCCAGTGTTCTGACATCTGGGAATTTGTCAATATTTGAAAAAATTCCTAATACACAAAGCTATTTTGTCCAAATAACACCACTCACAGTAACCAAATATTGTTATTTCCTTTGGCTGGCATATCAGTGTGTGATAATCAGTATTTTCATTTTGAGTAACTATTTGTCTTCCATTGATTCAAATGAAAGGACAGCTTGAAATGTAGGCATCGTGACTATTAGTCCCTAGAGAAGGATGAATGACTAAGGAGCTCATTAGTGGGGTAGGGGTGAAATTTTGAGAACTAATGGGCTAATGTGGGAGGTATCACTTGTCATTGACCAATTTTATTTCAAACTGAAGTTATAGTCTCACATATTACTTAAACGTCCATAATTATTGGTTCAGATAATAAGTTATATCTCCATTTAAGTAGCCAAAGTGAATACTTGCTCCTGAATCTCACATTTTCTTGCTTGTTTGCGACCACAGTATGAGGGAACTCTCCAGAATTTTAATAGATGTGGCACATCTCCTCCAACTGGCAGGAATGTGACTTTTGTTATCTCATTATAAATGCTTCAGGGCATGATGGCTCACTGTTGTTCCATAATGTGGTGGTCGATAAAGTACATACCTTGCATATCATATCCCCACCCAAACTATCTTTTAACAAAGAGCATCATAAATAAATCTTTTCAATATGATAATTGTTTATCCAGTTAACTTCTCTGAATACATCCTAAACTAGCTTATGGATTTATAGAGATGGGTTAACATGTGCTTTATAAAAAGACCGTTGGAGTTTGTTTTTATAATATCAATCTTGCATTTACAAGGGAGTGGTAAATTCTATCAATTCATCATGGTTTTCCATTTTTTTTAACCTTTTTGGTGTGTGTGTGTGTGTGTGTGTGTGTGTGTGTGCGCGCGCGCGCTCTTGTTCATGCCCATTGATAAAGGAAAGGGAAGTCTTAATCCCTAGTTGATCCATTATAAGTAGAAATGGCTTAAGGTTTACAGAGGGTTCTTGGACTACATAAACAACTATTGTTTGGACCTCCATGAAATGATGCAAATTACTGTCATTTTCAATTTTTCTAGATAATTCCCTCAGCATTTTGGCAAAACATAATGGATTCAATCGCCAGAAGCAAGAAGTCTACCTTTTACCAATAGTTATCAGTGACAGTGGGAATCCCCCACTGAGCAGCACCAGCACCTTAACCATCCGGGTCTGTGGCTGCAGCAATGATGGTGTTGTCCAGTCTTGTAATGTTGAAGCTTATGTCCTTCCGATTGGACTCAGTATGGGCGCCTTAATCGCCATATTAGCATGCATCATTTTGCTGCTAGGTACGTATTTCCTTTATAGCCTAATGGTCATGAATGACTGTTAATAAGAACAGAAAGTAGTCAACATTTTCTGGGGGATGAAGCAATTTAGCACTGCAAAACCATTAAGATGAAAAGAGAAAGGGTTGCGAAAACCATGCAGGGGTTGAGAGGCCTTTAAGTGTCTTTTTTCAAACACATCACCAATGAAAATAATGTAAAAAACCAAAACGGTGGTTGGGATTAGAATGGAGATGAAGCTCTCTACACTCACCACAGCACTTGTTAAATCAAAAGATCTCAGTCGGGAGAGGCATACCTGTTTACTTCAAGAGCTGGCTCTCCTATGCCCTCATTGCTGTTGGATCTAAACAATTCATGGCAAACATGTATTAAGTTAAGGACAGATGAATTAAGTTTAGTGAAACACCATACACACACACACATACACACACACACAAGAAAAAAAACTGGTAAAATTATGCTCCCTAAAAATTAGTTACATAAATATAAGATCAAACTAAAATGAAGATTACAAATAAAGATAGAATTTGTATATTCCAGGCCTGGAGAGATGGCTCAGCAGTTAAGAGTACTGACTGATCTTGCATAGGAGCCGGGTTCAACTCCCAGCACACACCCAGTGGCTAAGAACCGGATCCCACACCATCTTCTGGCCTCTGCAGGCACTGTACAATAAGGGTGCACTTCCACATAGGCAGTACACTTAAACACGAAAAATAATGAATAGAAATATTTTTAAAATATTTGTATAACCCTCCCACTAAGAAGTCACAGTCTTTATGAGTACATGCATTGGTAGTGTGTTTGTAATCCCTGCACACAGAAAGAGAGGAGAAGTCACTGTTCAAGGCCAGGCTGGGCTACATGCTAAGATTCTGGTCAAAAAGCATACAACCAGTAGTTTGATTTTAGGAAAATATCAAAGAACATTAAGATTTATCTTTCCCTTAAAGAATTAAAGAACTTGATTGTGTTAGTTACCTTTTTCTGTTACCACTGTCTTACTCTCTTGTTCATCCCCTGCCATGGATTTAAGCATCATTTCACTTCACTAACATATTTTACTTTAATAGTTCAAGCTGTATTTGGCTGATCAGCCTGCTTGGGTATACGTTCCTTTCCCTAACCCTACACTGTGCTAACCTTTTACCTATCTAGGTAAAAGAGCCCCAAACACCATTCAGTATGACTTTTTCTATATGATTTGATATTCATTTATTGTATAAAACATTATTTAACTGGAGAGTATCTTAATTATTACAATACATGGTGTGGGAATAAGTTTAAGTGGTTCGTGTGCTTGTATAACATGTAAGATGTCCTGGATTAGTGCATACTACCACTCCCACTACCTTATGCTATTAAATAATTTACTCAATATATAACGAATTAGTTGTGTTATGGGTATTATTTTCCATTTTTAACTAACTTCAGTATGGAATGCAATTGTAAACATTGCCACAACTAATTGCAAACTCATGTAATCCAGCACCCTTGTGTTTATTAAACACCAAGTGATTTTGGACATTATTTGCTCAAAGTCAGTAAGTATTCACCCTTCAGAAAGATGTTTAGCTTAAATTCCTATTGAGGATTATGAAAGATTATGCTTCTTAAAAATATTCCTCTCCCTAACGTATAGTACGTGTTGCTCGTGGCATACTGTGTTTGTAAGGCTCATTTTATTTGACTTTTCCTTACAGTCATCGTGGTGCTGTTTGTTACCCTGCGGCGGCATAAAAATGAGCCATTAATTATAAAAGATGATGAAGACGTTCGAGAAAACATCATTCGCTACGATGACGAAGGTGGAGGGGAGGAGGACACTGAAGCTTTTGACATTGCAACTTTGCAAAACCCAGATGGAATAAATGGATTTTTACCCCGTAAGGATATTAAACCAGATTTGCAGTTTATGCCAAGGCAAGGGCTTGCTCCAGTTCCAAATGGTGTTGATGTCGATGAATTTATAAATGTAAGGCTGCATGAGGCAGATAATGACCCTACGGCCCCACCATATGACTCCATTCAGATTTATGGCTATGAAGGCCGAGGGTCTGTGGCTGGCTCCCTCAGCTCCTTGGAGTCCACCACATCAGACTCAGACCAGAATTTTGACTACCTCAGTGACTGGGGTCCCCGCTTTAAGAGACTGGGAGAACTCTACTCTGTTGGGGAAAGTGACAAAGAAACTTGACAGTGGATTATAAATAAGTCAATGGAACTGAGCATTCTGTAATATTCTAGGGTCACGCCCTTAGATACAACCAACGTGGCTATTTGTTTTAGAGGCAAGCTTAGCACCAATCATCTATAGACTCAACCACATTTTAATGTTGAACCAAAAAAATAATAAAAATAAAAAGTATATGTTAGGAGGTTATAAATCTTGTGCAGTGTGAATTAAGTATGTGGAGTGTCTAGAAGTCCTTGGATATTTGATATTTACCTGACCGCCACAGCAAAGATTGGGATCCTAGCTAATCCTTAGAGAAATGGTTTAAAAAGAGAAAAAAATATCAAAATTAAAAGGTGCTTTATTAGAAAAATGGACCTGCAAGGATTCTGCTACTGACATGTGTCGTCTGCAAGGATTTTTATGAATGCAAATGGTTTTTTTTCCCTTCACCAATAAGGATCCCGTCACAAATGATAAAGCAATACTTGGTCTGCTGTACGTTATGACTTTATGGAGTTTGGGGAGGCCTCCTAGATTATACGGTACGGTGACCACACATTGTACATAATTGTTGGCCCCATTCACCAGAGACTGAATAGCATCTTTAAATATTGTGTCGAGCCTTAAAAATATTCACATGTTCGTAATCCATTCCAGGGTGGGGATTGCCAATTCAGAGGTGGGAGGAGAGCAATCCCGTTCAAACAGGCTGTGTCTAGCAGGACCTCCTCGTTCCCTTCAATTCATCCTCTTCCACAAGGACACAGAGATAAACTGTATCCCACAGCGGACCACATCAGAGGCAGATGGTTTTAATGCTAGCGCGTGAATTTATTTGTTTAATCCTCAAAATAAATATTTTATTGATGTCCATTAATGTTTTTATTTATTAAGGTTGGTAATCTATAGATTAAGGGATTATATGGGGAAAAACTAAATTATATCCATTAATAATCCTTTAGATGGTTTTATATAAATATCTATACAATGAATGTTTAATACATGTACATTTTGATGAGATACGTATGGAAGGCAATATTATCAACAGGAGAGCTAATAGTCTCTTTAGAGTAGAAAGTGTTATTGTGACTGGTGATGACAGGAACAGCATTTTCCCAGAGAAACTTTTGGACTGTTTTCTATTTTGTTCATAACCCTAGTATTTGGTGTTTTTACTACAAGCACAAACATCTGAAAGTATATTGATTCCTGTGAATATTTAAACTCTAGACTTTTAGATATCTACATAATTCCCTACCCAGTAAATGCTTCAAGTTGCCCTACACCCACTATTTTAGAGCAGGAACTGATTTGTACATAATTTTACTGCTTATGTTTTTAGCACTCCTGTCCCTGATCATGGTGATGCACAGAACGTCTTAGACTCCAGATACAGAACAGCACTAGAAGATGTGAGCATATTTAATTTGTGACGCAAACCTGCCATGTAGGAGTAGAAAATAATGTATGATAAAGCTCAAGTATTACATGCAGATTATTTTTATTTTCTACTTTGCTTTAATGCAATATTGTTTATTTACTCCATGTATTGTATTCAGAGAAACTCCTGTATTGTTTCCTACTTTGTGAAATATATTTTTATAAATACCTTTGTTGTCATCATTTTTTTTCCAGTTAAATGAAGGCATAAGAGAAAAATTATTGACAATTAAAACTCTAAACTGTTAAATCAAATCACACCATGGACCACTTTTAGTTGTAAGAGTCGCTATTATCATAAAGAAACAGAGAAGAGAAATGGCTTGCTAATGTTCCCATTACAAGAGGACATCGTAGACATAAACATACTATGCCATACCTAAAACTCAGTGAAGCATGTCTTTGAAACCTCTGAAGATAGAAACTGAGGTGGACTTAGAAGATGACAAAGAGTAAAAAGACAATGTTGGGCAGGAAAAACTTTCAGATGAGCTGGCAGGTCCAAATGTGACAAAAGAAAGGGATCGGAGAGCAGGATTTGGCAACAAATACTAGATCACATTTCAGATCTAAAGACACATCTTTGCTAGCTCCTCAGAGAATCCTTTAGAGCAAGATTGCTGGGTTCTTGTAACCTGCTATTTCATCCACTGTCTTGGGGCTGCCTAAGGAAAACATGGCCTTGGTCTGAAAACTGAAGGCAACAATTTCTGGATCCTGTCCTTACTATAACAGAACAAAATGATGGAATGTTCTACTTGGATATTAAGAGCTATGCCATAGCTTACCAACCCCTTACAGGTCCCTGTTTTCTGATAACTCACTTTTCATACTTACAGCAGTGGCTACTGAACACTTTTCATGAAGTCAAAGGGAAAGTTCCAAGTGGCTTTTGTACAGTGTTTAAATCAAACACTTGATGAAATAAACTGTCAATAGTATATTTAGTAATAATGAAAAACAAAATCCTACTATCTGACATATTATACACTAAGGCAAAATTATTTTTATTTTCCTGCTTCACTTCAGATACATCTCAGTTGACTATTTAGTAAATTGCCATAAAACAAGCTTGTATAACAAATATCACACTATTTTTTCTAATAATATAAAATTAATATCCTACAATGTTAATGAGCAATAGGAAAATATTCATGTATTGTGGGCAGGAGACAATGTCTGTTGAACCACTCTTCCAAATCATTCCTAAACATCTACTTGGCCCAGGAAGGGAGCATGGGAACATGAACTCATCATTAATATTTCTTATTTATTTTCATCTAAGCATTTTACATGTCATACAAGCACTGTCAAATTTTGAAATACGGGACAAAGTGATGCTGAGCTCATTACACGACTAAACTATGTGAATACACTTTTAGAGTACCTTGAATATTAACAATATCTGAAGAAGACACATAGACCATTTGACTAAAGCTTTTACTTTAGCAACAAACTTACTAGCATTACCCCATCCAAAGAGATTTACTAAAATTGAAAGGCTCTATCAAATAATTAAGTGACTCGTTTAAATTTGTCAATATTTTTATTAATTTTCTGTTTTATCAATGTTGGTGTATCAAATGAATCTTACACATACACGTACAGTTATTTATCAACATAATACTGCCTCATTCTGCAGTCTTTTCATTGTATCTATGATCTTCCTCCCAAGCACCAGCCTCCTAAGGCTTCTGTGCAAATGGAAAAAAAGAAGCCTGTTAATCTGGAGCCACCTGAAACAAAATTAGTTTCCCTTGGTGTGTTTCACTTCAAGGGTTTCATCTGGGGAACAAAGGGATCCCTGAGTCGCTGAAATGCGACATGGGATCAATTCAGCCTCTAATTTGTGTATTATTTGAGCAAAGCAAATTAAAAAAAAAAAAACTCTTAAACTTTCACATGTACATATTATCAAGTATTAGCAAGCTATTTCTTAAAATATTTCTTAGTATGAAAGCAATCTGTATAATTTAAAAAGGGTTATGGTAGGATATTGAAATATGCTACAAATTAAATTCATGTGTTACTATTCACTCACCAAACTGTGCTACCTAGGATATGAACTTCACAGTAAAACTGTTCTGTACAAAAGAAAGTGTTGGTAAGCGTTTGTGTGTATATAACATGAAAGAAAACTTGGATTCACTGGCACCGCCAGTGAGGAAAGGATCCTCAGAAACAGACAAAAGTGTCTATGGGAGAGTTTGCTTAATCATATGCTTAAAGTAAGACAAGTCTCTGCATGAGACTTAGAAATCTCCTAGGAGCAGCCGACTCCACACTGAGACTCAACAGAGGGCTGGGCTACGCTGTATTTTGGAGAAGGAAAGCAGGTGCTGAGAGCTAAGTAGCCAATTACTTTTTATAGCCACATAAGGACTGGAGGAAAGTAGTCCCTTCCAACATGCTGTATTATGCGATCGCTGGCATTGCAGGGAAGCTCACGAATGTATAACCTTCTGATTGCCTTTTTGATTGAAAGTTCCATCTGAGATCAAGGCAGTGCAACCAGTAATAAGATTTCAAAAAATCCCATCACTGGCACTGTTGGAAAGGTTGAGCATGACTGAAATCCCATCATTGTCAGTCAAAAAGATAAGGTAACAGTGGGCATCACTATAAAAGCTGTATAAATGCACAATTTAAACATGAACATCAACACTGAGAAGGATACACAGACATTCATATGCATGTGCACACATACATATATACACAAATGTACACAAAAAATTAGCTACTGGGGTAATTTATAATAAGTTTTCATTTCAATAATAATAAGTTTTCATTTCAGAGTCTCATATATTAAACCAAACCTGAAATAGTGTCTCTTTGTTTTCCTGAATCTAACCTTGAAGTTGAAAGCAGTCTGACTAAGGGTAAAGGTTTTTAAATGTGAGTTTTCATTTATGAACATAATCATAGCTCACAGAGCCTGGGATTATAATTAAATGCATCACATCATGAAGTTGGATTTGTATTCTCATGGAGAGAACAAATACAGAATATATTTGATAAAAAATATTTTCCTCTATGTGTTCACTTTTCTTCAGTTCTAATACAATTTTATTTGCTTATACAAAGTCCTTTTAGAATGTTGGTGTTGGCTAACAGGTTTTGAGTATATTGTATACTATTATAGCTGTTGATATTTATGATAATTATGATGTCTCTATTTCCTATCATTAATGGAGGTGTTTATTTTTATCATTTTATCCATAGCCAACACATGATGGATTCAATAGTATATTCTTACTATTTAAGCTATTCTAGCAACATTATTTTTGTTGTAGTTCCCAAATTATAGGGTCTGTGCAATGAAAAATCCTACTTCCTCTCTTGACAAGGATTTCATCCACTATGCTCATTTATTGAGCACCTAGCAGATGGAACTAGGCTGCATAGGTGATATGAAACAATTAAATATGATGGTATCCTCAAACTTATTTCCCCTGTTTAATGTAGTAGATCAATCTCATCTAAACTAACTTTTGAAACGGTCTTTGCCTGTGGTTAAATAGTATTTATGAGTTTGAACTTCGGTTGGTCTCATATTAGAGTTCCTAACTTCCCCAAAACAATCTTAGCTCTAATTATCTTGTGAGGCTGTAAATGATGAGATAGAAAGTAGCCATCTATTATTCTATGAAAGGGATGAGAATGAAGAAAGCAACTCTGAATGGTAAAACATGAAAGCTTTGTGGGATATTTCTTTTAAAAGACAGGAATTAAGCAACAAGTAGATAAATTATAAAAAGCACATGTAATGATTAATGGTACATGTAGACATTCAAGAAAGAATCCAAATGAAGAAAGGATCCTGAGAATGCCTAAATTACAGCATATTTCATGGGTGACATGAGAAAGATTTTCAGGTGCTTATTAAGGAATCTTCTAGGATTACCATGCAGGTCTAAAAAGTGGAAGACAGGAGTTGAACTTCTTTTCTGGGATTGTAAAGTGTAAGTGCATTTGTATGCACCTCTCTTTCGCTGATGCCAGATCCACTAAGAGGTATTTGTTGGAGGCATGGGTGCCTATGAGCACTTTTTCCATTTGAGTTAACTGTCACTATCTGATTGACACCTTGAATACAGCTCTTATCTCCAACAGGTATCTCTACTAATATATAATAGATATCTCTATTATTATTCACAGATTACAGAAGAGGGTTGCTAGGAGGAATGTCAGAGAACACTGCCTGAAGAAAAGGACTATGGAAAATGGTGACTTCAATGAACCCAGAGGCCAGAACTACAGAAGACAATGAGAGGTCACTAAAGGCACATGCTAATCACTTCAGACCTCCTCTGTGCATTCAGTATCTCCAGGGCCATCTCACGGCTCCACGTGGATATGAGCAATATTTCAATATTTTAACAATCACTGTTTAAGATTGAACACAGCAGTTATGAGTCATTGGTGGAGATGATTTCCTGTTTCTGTTCCATGCTTTCCCTTCACCACAACTCTCTCTGATACTTTCCTAACTTTTCTTTAATTCAACCTCTACAGTTTGGGATATACCACTTATTTGTCACGTTTGACTGTTGGATATGTGACTGGATGATTTAAGATTCATGTTAGAGCTATAACAATACTGCAAATAAACTTTTAAAATTCCTTCCTAACAACCAATGTCTTTTATACAGATGCATGTTCTAGACATAGTATTTGTGACAGGGAAATGATATGCTCACCATAATTATCTTGCCCCTCATAGAAATAGGATGTGTGTGATTTGATAAGTTAATAAAGAAGCAAAAAATAATAAAACATTAGATTTGTCTGTATCATAGAAGAGATTAGCAGGATTCAAAGAACATAGGGGGAGAGCATAATAACCTACCAGTTCATGGTATTCTATAACAAGTTATGCTAAGATGAGTCTTGGACTCGACAGTGCCTGTTGCAGGATATTGACTTCCAGGGTCTGAAAATGATGCTGAGTTGAAAGATTTCTCAGAATCCTTTACTGCTAGGGCTTCCTAACATGCAAAATACCCCATGTGACCAAGTTTCTAGGACCATTTTATGTAACAGATATTTATTGATATTTACTATTTCACTGTTCTATATGGTTGTAATATAACAAGTCTGTGTCCACATAATTTGGTGGTGTGGGACAAAAGAAAACAAACAGGAATAAGTAAAAAAAAAAAAAAGAAATATGGAAGACCGAAAAAAAAACAGATAAAATTCTAATATTTAAAGCAGATGGCCTTGACCAAGTTTCTATGACCATTTTATGTAACAGATATTTATTGATATTTACTATTTCACTGTTCTATATGGTTGTAATATAACAAGTCTGTGTCCACATAATTTGGTGGTGTGGGACAAAAGAAAACAAACAGGAATAAGTAAAAAAAAAAAAGCAATATGGTAGACCGTAAAATAAACAGATAAAATTCTAATATTTGAAGCAGATTGCACTGGGTGGTATTTGAGTTGTCATGTTTCATAAGAGCAAACCACAGCAAAGAGCATGGAAAGGTTTGCTTCAGTTGTTCTCCTGTAATGGTAGATGCAGTAACTGTAAATAATGACTATAAATGAGTGGGGAAGAAGGGTGCACAAACATGGACTGCTGAGTAGAGAACACATGATCCACAAGGAGCAGCAGCTCATATTTACTTTATGTGAAATAAGAGGTAACTGAAAGAATCTAAAAGAATGAAAATGACATGATCCTATTTGTAGGATTTTGTTTAATATTTTGGTAGAGCTGTATGTTGAACCAAGGGCATCATGCAAGACAAACAAGTGCTCTACCACTGAGCGGCAGCCCCAGCCATGACTTGTATGTTTACAAAGATTACTGTGTGTCCTGTGTGGAAATAATAAGACCCCAGAATGATAATAGGACACCCAAATAGGATGCAATTGCTTTAGCCCTAGAGACAAACTATCTTGGCTTTGACTACTGCTAACAGAAGTACAAGAGCAGACACTGAATATAAAATTGATATCCATAGTGGATATACTTGGTGAATAAAATCAAGAAAAGGTTTGAAGGTTATAACTAGTATTTCTTATTTCAGACTATATGTGGTTAGTGGTGACAATTGCTAAGATTGATACTCTAATAAGTATTGAGGGGGAGAAACAGACAGACACAGAAAGAAAGAAAGGCAGAGGGAGGTAGAAAGATAATAGATAATGATAGATAGATGGATAGATAGATAGATAGATAGATAGATAGATAGATAGATAGATAGATAGATGTTAGATAGATAGATAGATGATAGATAGACAGAGGATAGATAATAGATAGAAGATGACAGGTAGATAGATTGATAGATAGATGATTGATAGATAGATAGATAGATAGATAGATAGATAGATAGATAGATAACAGATAGATGATAGACGATAGACAGATTGATTGATTGATTTACTGTGTGTTGCCTCACGAGATGTCCCAAAGCTTTGCCTCTGAAATCTGGTGAACTTGGAATGCTAGGGGTTCAGCCCTTCAGTCCAAATCTGAAGGCTTGAGAACCATGGAAGTGAATGGTTTAATTTCCAATCCAAGGCTAGGAGAAAAGAAAATGAAATGTAAAGAAGAAAACCAAAGAGGGGGATAGATGCTCCCTTTCTACTCTGAAATCCCTCAGTGGACTTGGTAAGCCCCAGCTACAGTATGGAAGTCAATGTGCTTTATAGACGCCATTGATTCAAATGATAGAAACACTCTCATAGAAACTTCCAGAAATAATATTTAATCTGGGCACCTATGGACAGATCAAGTTGACACACAAAAGTTAATTATTTCAGGGATCACTTCCAAAACATTACTGCACTGATTCTTTTGTATATTAATATCTGAGTCTATAAAGTTGGCAAGATATGATTCATTTCTTGGGAAGACAACACAGATCAATTATTTTGTATTTTTAGTTCTTCTATAGGGAAAAAGATGGAGGGTTCACTTTAGAGTATCACCGATTCTCTTATTAGAAATGTTTTTATTGAAAGTGGGAAAATGATATCCAAAACATTCATCTATGCTTACAGAAAAGGAAAATGGCACATATAGCTTTACGTGTAAGTACACACAGCCAGGATTCATCTCTGATACCTGTCCTTCCTCTTTGATTTCAGTAGTAATCATTAAGGGAATAAAATAGATTCTGTGAAAATTCAACTATGGATTAAAAAACTGTAGCAACAAAAACCTTAATGAAAATTTCTAGATTGATTTTATAAATATTTATTTAGGAAAAATTCTTCTGGTTCTCTAGAAGTTAATGAATTTGGGAATTAATACACACTGGGTACACACACACACACACACACACACACACACACACACACACACAAATGTACTGATGTTAGACTGGAAAGAAAGCCATGCACAAGAAAGAATAAGAATTATTACATAAAACAATTTAGAATAAGGCACCACCTGTGCTGCACTTTTATTATGACATGGTTGCGCATGCTATGTCATGGTACTTGGCCCAAGAATAAAAATCTATTATCATTTTCCGAGAGCTTCTAATTTGTGTAGTGACTTGACATAATTTATTTTTAATTGCAGCAGCACTGTGTTCATTTTCTAACTTTCTTTATTTTAAAAGTTTCATTGAGTTTTTGGACATTTCATACTACAGTTCTCAATCAAATTTAGACCCCATGCCCGTTCAAGCCCCCCATGACAACGCCAGACTTCATATTTTCCATTACACATGTTAAGTCTTATACAATCAAGCACTTGTACCCAGATGTCCTCTCATGCAAATTCATCTACTGGAGTCTAGTCAGCCTATCTAGAGAGCATTGGTAAGGCCTACTCTCCCTATCCACCATCAATCAGTCTTCAATAATTCCCAGACTAGTCCTGGCCTGCCACCCATTTGCCTCACTCCACTCTGGACTCTTCCTTGTCTGGCTTAGTTGGCTTGTGTCTTGTGCTCAATGCCACAATTGCCACATGTTCACATGTATAAGCTTCCAGTGGCCTGAAAGCCTCTGCTTCCCTATGTTTATGAACCAGCTGTTGCTCTTATATTCTTTCCATCCCCTGTTCAACAAAGGTCCTTGAGCGTTGGGAGGGAGAGTTTTATTATAAGAATCCTATTCAGGGACATACACTCCGCAGTCTCTTATTCTGTAAAACTTGGCATGTTGTGGCCTTCTGTTTGTATCACACTCTGTTGTATAAAGAAGCTTTATTTCTGAGTGTATGAGTATGAGTGTACTGCCTGCATGTATGTGAGTACATCCATGTCATGTAGTGTCCATAGAGATCAGAAGAGTGCATCAAATTCCATTAGAACTGCAGTTATGGATGTTTGTTAGCTGCCATGTGGGTGCTGAGAATAGAACTTGGGTTCTCTGCATGGTCAGCCAGTGCTTTTAACTGATTAGCCATCTCTTCCAGCATTATACTCCTATTTATATGTTTAAGCACTTTCAAATTACTGAAAGAAATCTAAACCAAAATACTCAATAATTTTGAGTTCAGGGAGAGTGACATATGCATTGTGTTGTGCTGTGCAGAATAGGCTAAGAATCCATTTGTTCACTATGGTGTGATATGCACTTGAAGACAAAAATAACAACACAAGTGAGAAGCAGAGGATAGAGGACTCAGGGAGGGAAGAAAAGACACCATGTGATCTTAAAGCTTGTTAAGGATACACCAACAAATAAATTTAAAAGTTCATTCTTTTTCTATAGAAACATCAAGGGAATCTAGTGATATCATACATAATTGTATAAATAGGTACTTGTCAAGTAAAACCACTTATTTATTTATCCATTTATTGTATTGATGATTTAAATCTAGGATTTTGCACACACTGAGCTATTGATCTACCACCGACCTGTACCTCCAGCTCTCTTTGCATTTTATTTTCAGACAGAGTCCATTAACTTGCTCAGACTGGCCTAGAACCTGCTCTGTGGCCAGGGAATCTCTGATCTTATGATCACCCTGTCTCAGCTTGCTACACCAGGCTTGGCTATACTTTTAATGTGTTTCTTCCTAGTAATATAACTTTGTATAATAGTTGATTATCAGAGACAAGGAATCATGTGAACACTTCACTGGATAAATTTTTAAGTGTCAGATACAGTTCATAATTTAAAATGCTTTAAAACCCTCAGAAAATTAAATAAGAATCATGGAAGAGAATTTTATTAATGTTAAGAGTGATATACTCAATTTTTATAGAAAAGAGTATAATACAGAATTGTGGGGTACATTCCTTTAAAATGGAATTAAGAAAAGAAAGGATTTCTGCCACTGGTCCAGGATAACAGTGGAAGTACTGATATTACCATTCTGCAGGAAAAACAGGAAGCTTTACAGATATATAGAAAAGATTGACCATACTTGGTTATTTGTAAATTACACATAAAATAGTGAAAAGAGTAAATTCACAAACTGTTCATACTAAATAGATTTTTAGCAACTAGGAAGGCTAGACATCATTGATAAAAGGAATTACAGTCCTAAAAATTAGGGGACTGGAGAGATAGCTCGGCCTAAAAACACTGGCTGTCTTCAGGGAATGCCCAGATTCAAAATCCAGCACCCACATGTTGGCTAACAACCACCATTCATAACTCCAATTCCTGGAAAACCAACATCTTCTTCTGTCCTCCATGGGCAGTGCACAACATAGGTACACATTCATACATGCAGGTAGAACACTCATACACATAAAGTAAAAAAATCACAGTAAAAAAATTTAAAGTCCTAAAGATGTTGACTCCTATATACCTTTAATTTCTATTATAATCAAAATAATAAGTGAACACTGAGATCAATTCAATTTTTAAAAATTTCATGCTATTTTTCATCATCTCTACTCTTTCATAAAATTGAGACTGAGAGGCATTTATGGAAAGTGCTCTTAATGCTAATGATTGAGAAAAATAATTACTATGAAGCTATAAAAATTAAATCTAGGAAATCAACAAACACCATTAAATAAGCAATGAAAGACCAATGGAATTCCTGTTCAGACTGAGATGCAAACTCAAGTATGTGAGGTAAAATTAACTCAGTTTGAATTATAATATGCAAATGCAGAAGAGTAAGCTGCCATTAATGAATTCACAAGATAAGTATTAAAGAGGTGAATACAGGCAAGTGTCCATTGCAATGCTGAGGATAAGAGGC